AAATTTTGTTGACATCTTGGTCAAAAAGTGACGAAATGTGAACAAACTTAGGAGTTGCAATTAGAAAGTAGGTGGGCCGGTAGGGCCGAGGTGGGGGTGGAGGGGTAAGCCGTTAGGGTAGTAGGAATCATTTTGGAGTTGAAAGAAGCACCCAAAATAAACTGACGTTATCTTATGATAATGTAGTCCAATGCGGAGTTTGTAATACGAAGTAAGAGTTTTTATGAAGCATATATTTTTTATTGGAGGCGGTTCCCTCGACATTGCTAAGCAATGTCATAGGATGACCCGGAAGTCGTAAGGTGCTCCGTTCATAAACCCTCCTACCCCGCCCCGCTCCGAACCCACCGTCACACCCCTTCAATTTCATCCCCCAAATTTGATTGACTATGGAGTCAAAATTTTAACTTCAAAGTCAATTAAACTTAGGGGATGTAATTCAAGGGGTGTGGCGGTGGGTTCAGGACGAGGTGGGGTGAGAGGATTACCGGGAGGTTAGGAGGAGTATGAACTATCAATTTTACAAACATAACATCGTACGGCTCCTGAATCATCCTGTGCAAAGCCGGTCCCGAAATATGAAAAAATAAAATTGGCCCGGTCTAAAATTTACATTTTGGGCCTTATTTTATTTTTTTAGAATATTTATGCTTTAAAAATAATGGCAAATTTAAAAATATAGACCCTAAGATTTAGGGGCCCTGTGCAGTTGACCACTTTGCACACCCTCCGAGCCACTCATGATCCTGTGACATTGTTTAGCAATATCGGGAGGATGGGAGTGTTTTTTATTAGGTAGTATACGAAAAAGGAGAAAAGAAAATACTCCTAATAATAATGATTAAAGAAGATGGGGATGTGAGGGAAATGATGTACAAGAATAATGTATTACAAGGTTGAAATTCAATTCACCCCTCCCAACTTGACATTTGACACGAAAGAAACATAACCCCTCCCTCTCCTTGAAACCTTTAATTTTACCCGTTCAATAATCATTTGCAGACCCTTACCCCCCCTTACCTCACCATACTTACAACATTCATAATTACATTTTCTGAAACAAGCTAAGGGATGTTTTTTTATTCTGTTGGGAAGTAGTGATATATAATTAATGATTTCTAATAGATACAGTTTCTGATGGGCAAGATCCTTTAGGGTGTCTCCAAAGTCATCCCTATCTCATCCAAAATGATGATATATGCTTATTATTATTATTATGAATCAATTGATGAGCTAAGCAGAGAATCCAATAATTTCATATTTGGGAGCCAAAAAAAGAAATCTTCAAATAAAAAAAGAAAGAGTTCATCAAGACATGACAAATTATATTCTGGGTAGTGTTTTTTTAGTAGCATAGTAAAACATTTTAATTAAATAATGCTTATTCCAGTTCAGAGCTCAAGTTTCTTCTTCTTTGGTCTTCTAAAGGTCACTCGCAGTCATCATTGCATCTCATATCTCGGGTAAATTTCACAAATGGTACCTGAACTTTAGCTGGAATTTCGAAGTAGTACCTGAACTTCAAATCCTTTCACAAAAATCTCTTAACTTACACAATCCTTTCACTAATGAGCCATTTGCCCGTTTCTAGGTTAACTTCCGGTCATTAGGGCCAAATTCGAATTTTATATATTTTAAAATTTTCAATTTGACCCCATTTCTTCTTTTCTTTTCTTCCACGCCCCGCCGCCGCCGCCCGCCGGTCAAAGTCGCCGGAAAATGAACTTTTTCCGATTCCGGCGGGACCAATGTCATTCTCTTCGTCTTGAGACGAGGATCAATAATATCCAAACCATTTTGTCTAATTTGGCCTGTAACTTCTCGAATCTGAATTTTTCTACTCGAAAAAACCCTAAAATTCGAAATTGGATNNNGTACCTGAACTTCAAATCCTTTCACAAAAATCCCTGAACTTACACAATCCTTTCACTAATGAGCCATTAGCCCGTTTCTAGGTTAACTTCCGGTCATTAGGGCCAAATTCGAATTTTATATATTTTAAAATTTTCAATTTGACCCCATTTCTTCTTTTCTTTTCTTCCACGCCCCGCCGCCGCCGCCCGCCGGTCAAAGTCGCCGGAAAATGAACTTTTTCCGATTCCGGCGGGACCAATGTCATTCTCTTCGTCTTGAGACGAGGATCAATAATATCCAAACCATTTTGTCTAATTTGGCCTGTAACTTCTCGAATCTGAATTTTTCTACTCGAAAAAACCCTAAAATTCGAAATTGGATTCAAAATTGGGGGTTTTGCAAATCTTCATCAAATCTTGCAATTGAGGGGTCCTTGGAGGTCGCCCGGATGCCACGAACGCATTGGAGTTGGTGCCCGCCGTCAATTTCGCCGGATTTAGCCGGAAAACGCTCCGACCCGCCGGAAACCGCCTCATATCTCCTTTTAAGTTTTGGTTGACTTTCTACAACTGCATACACTCTACCCTTCCATGAATTTAGTTAGTGACCCGTAGAGCAATGGATTGAATAGACATGGAAAAACAAACAGAATCGGAATCATTTACCCGAATCGAATGATCCGAAACTGAAACAGAAATTATCCGAAAAGTGAAGATCTGATTTATAACTGAATAATCAAAATGATCCAAATCGAACCGAAACCGAAATAAATATATTCATGCTCGGTTTAAATTCGAAACCGATTAGTTCAAATCGATTAGATCCGAAACCGATTAAACTTGAAACTAATTAAATTCGAAACCAGTTAAGACTTGAAACCGACAAGATTTAAAATGGGTAAGACCCAAAATCGATAAGATCCAAAACCGATTATATCCGAAATTGATTCCACCTAACAATAAACATACTCCCTTCGTCCCAGAAAACTTTTCCAATTTTGACTTTTGAGAGGAGAAGATATAGAAGATTGACCAAGACGAAATGACGATAAGTCAAAATGGGTAGAATGTAGAAGATGATTGATGTAGGTTTGGTTATTTTTAGGAAAAGTAAGGGCAATTGTGTCCATTTAGGCGAAATTGAAATGTTTTATTGAACGAGTAAGAAGTGAAAGTTGAAATTTTTTTAAGGGACGGAGGAGTATTATATTTATGTACATTAGTGAACACTTACATTCATGTGATTTCGAATTTTTTACATTTATTTTACCATTTGAACTAGTTATATACTTATATTACTTATTCTCTACATCCCAAAATGAATTATCATATCAAAACAAAATGCAAAATTTCATATCTTTTAAATTCATATTATTTATAAATTGGTATGGAAAAGAAAAATACAACTTACATAAAAACATATATTTAGTTAAAATTTATACAAACTAGAGCATAGTTAAAAAAAAATACTTTTCACCCCCTCTCAATATTGTCTGGTCGGCCAAACACGTGCTTTGAATTGCATTTAATATCACTCAAATTTTATCTAATTGCTTTCAATTGTACTCAATTTCAACATATTTTAACCAAATGGTATGTGATTTGGTAATCTAATTCTATTAATTTTATATTGGAACTAAATATATTTTTCTTTCATAATTTATAATCCAAATTTGTAAAATATGACTAAAAAGATACAAATTGAAGGTATTTAGGACGGAAGGAGTCGTATAGTTTAAAAAAATATAAAATAACATGAAGTGATGAATTGATGACAGATTAATAGATGTGATATCACAAAAAATGAATGGTAATTAAATTTTAATTTTTGAAAATAACATATATGCAAATTTATCCAAAACCAAAAAATACTCGAACTGAAATAAATACAGAACAAAATATATCTGAACTGAAATGTATCCAAAACTAAATCGATCTGAACCGATTGATACTCGAATCGTATGTGAATTGACCCAGAACTGAATCGAAATTGAAAACCGTATGGAACTAAATTAAATCAAAACCAAAATTGAACTGAACCAATTCGAATCGAATTATTCCAAACCGGAATCGATACAATTGCCACTTCGAGGATTAAAGGCAACTAATTATTAATTAACCCATCAATTTTGAAATTACTTTTAAAACGTACTCCAACACCCTGGTATCTTAACTAAAATTTGTTCTTTAGAGCTTAAACTCTTAACTTCTACACCCTCCATCCCCATTTTGATTAGAATTCTATTTTCTCTCTCTTCTCGATAATTTTTGTTTGTTTGTTTGTTTGTTTTCATTGATTATTTGATAAAATAAAATATTCTTGTCACATTTTGTTTTGTTGAATTTTTTATATATCTTTTTAATAAGTAATTTTTATTTCTTATTGATGTACTAATTTGTAAATAAAATGATTTCAAAAATCGTGGGATTTTACCTCGTAATTCCCATTTGTAATCAAAATAGGGACAAAGGGACACTACTACAAAACAGGGCAAAGGCACCGGTTGTTTTGTACCTTTAGCATCGGTTTTGTACCGATGCAAATACGAGCGATGCAATTGGTCAAAATCAATTGCATCGCCTTTAGAAACAACCGGTGCCTTTGCTATTTTATTAATTAGAAAAAAAGGGAGTATTAGCATCGGTTGGTTACAAATAACCGATGCCTTTGCTTTTTTTATAATAAAAAAAAAATAGTATTAGCATCGGTTGTAGACAAACAACCGATGCTTTTGGTAAAAACTGAAATTTAAAATAGAGAATTAGCATCGGTGGTTCAGCAAAAACCGATGCCTTTGAGCATTTAATTTTCGATTTTTTTTTTAAAAATCCGCAATTGCATCGGTGTGCCAGGAACAACCGGTGCCTTTGCGATATTTATTTTTTAAAAAAATATTTAGAAAACGATATTTGCATTGGGTTTTCAAGAAAAACCGATGCCGTTGCTCAATATTATAAATTTCAAAAAATATTTTGAAATGTATTTGCATCGGTATTTACTAAACAACCAGTGCCTTTGATATAAGATTTTTTTTTAATATATTACAAAAACAGCAATAATTCTACACAATGAAGCAACAGTACAGAAACTACACATTCATGTACCACACAGCACTACTTATAAGAGATATAAGTCTCAAACATTGAAGGACAATTTAAATTTCATTGTATAAATCCACCAAAATGTAAAAGGATTTAACATACTACACAACTTACAACACAAAGTTGTGTCCAACTAACAAAACGGGTTAAAAAGTATACCAAATTAAACTAAATTTGTTTGTCACTAGGGATAGAGTGGCTAATTCACTAACTCATCTAGAAAGGTGTTTGCCCACATCTCTCGTAACTCTTCAAGTTGTTCAATCGTATACGGATCAAAAGAGTTGAACACCTGTAAAAACAAAAACAAAAAAAAAGAAAAGAAATCAAAAGAAAACATCTTTGATAGGAAAATAAGTGATATTCATCATGATGATGAGTATAAAAAGTCATTACAACACCATCAAGAAAACCCATACAATAATTAAAGACTAACCCTTGCAAATTACCTCTCCACAAAATTAGCATAAAAGGCAAATTTCTTTCGATTCAAAGTAGTAACTTACCGTTTCTATTGGAACGGATTCACGGGCACAAAGACTGATGATTAGCCACATAAACCTCATGACATAATACCCACACTCTGTTCCACCGGGTTGTTGTGGTACGATACCGACATCAGTCCACGTGGGTTTCATTTTAAGAAAACCCATCCCCTGTACTCGAAGGATCCTCCAAGCTCTTCGATCAAATTTTAAAATAAGTAACCATCATTTGAGTAATACATGAGAAAACACAATTCAAATAGCAATTGCATAAAATAAAGATAATATACACTTACTCGTTTATGTAACTCTTCAGTGTAAGATTCTTGGAAGTCCCCGTCCCCAATGCTGAGTTGAAGTAATACACT